GATCTTTAATGTAGACGCTATACAATGAAGGACTCTAAACAAACCATGTTGCAGGTGGCCACTGTTTGTAGAGATCTTCTTTACTGATGAGGCAGAACAATAGTGCAAAGTTAGGGTCGTATTTAAAAGTCTTCAATATTTTACGACTTTAATTTAATCAGTTGACGTGGAGAGCGTGGCTGTACGCAGTGTCATTTTAGAGTAGTATTTTAAGCGTTTTGTTTAAAAATATCGTTAATCAACTTTTTTCAGAGCACTCCAAATTAGTCTATTTTATTTGACCTTTTTAATGTACATATTTTACATTTTCAAAACGTATCTTCTTACGTTTCTCTCTCCAGTGACTGGTTCTATTTCATAATAGCTTATAGTCTATATCACCTAGGTGTATGAGTGTAATTGGAGAATGTAAATTGTTAATCCAACTGGCTCGATGGAAAACACAAACAAAGAAGTCTCCAAAGCGAATAAAGCTAGCGCAGAAACAGTTAATTAAAATATCTTGAGTTTATATTATAAGCACAAAAGGTATCTATTGAAAACGTTTTTGTGTAAAAAAATGACAATTATTCACAATTTAATGGTCACCGTTTGAGGATCGCTGTAGTTTTAGAGTCTGTTAAAAAATCTCAATATTGCATTAGACCTTATAATACCACTGAGATACTAGGCACACTTTCAACGGTCGATTACTAGTATGCTGGGACAAGAATATGTCAAAACCTACTTGGCTTCTCGTATTTTCAGTTTTTGAGAAATATGTTAAGCGGAAGGCATTGGAAGACCTGTTCTGGGTTTAGTAACAAAGCCTCGAATAAACATTTGGTAAGTTGGGAGAATTCTTGAAAGTAAAGCAAACCTTTGGTATACACAGCTGTCACGAGTTCATGCACCCGGCCCTAAAACTGTTTAAATGAAGCTACAGTATTACACATAATAGCGTGCAGTACACAACATTGTGTAATGCTCTTGAGAGGTTACAATACAATACAATACAATACAATACTTTATTGACAATCCCTAAGGAGGGTTTTTCGGTAACAATGATCAAAAAATTACAAAATTACAATACTAAAATGTATAATAGAAAAATTAAGGAAGCTAAAATGTTAAAAAATGTTCGACAAAGTTAATTGTAAAAGGCGGCTGAAAGTCGTCATTCGGAGGTCTTATTGGCGATAACCGTTGGCCGTAAAACGGCGAAAAGATGTAGGCGTAAAAATTGACAAATTTTAACTATTAGTCATAAAAAAAAGTGTACTGTGAAAATTTTTTCGGCTCTGGTTAAACTTACTTGGTGCTTTCAGAGCGCACGAAAAGTTGCAAGCTTGAAAATAATTCTAACGCACAGTTTGGTTTAAAATTGGCCATTATGGCAATATCGATTTGATTTTGCGAGATTCGCTGGGAGTTCGATTGTTTGTTTGTGGTTATCGTTCTTGTTTTGAGTATTGTTAAAATATCTAAAAGTTGAGATGAACTCCGCCCTCTAACTTCTGATGAGCCATTACCAAATTTTCGTTAAAGTAGTTAAGTAAATAATGACGACGTAATAATGCATGTTGGAAATCAAAAGGCTTAAGGTCTCACTTCTTTCCACAAAAAATGACAACTTGTTTAGTTGTTTAACTCCGTTACCGGTGCATCTACCTGAGTTTCCCACCGAGATGTTCACAGTTACGTCTGCGTAGCTCGTGGGTTGCTGAACCCCGTGGGCTGTTCGTGGGCTGCTGAACCCTCCATGAGCCAAACTGGATGCTAAAAATAAAGCTAGAACAAATTAACGTCTGGGTTGCTTGCGATATTTCGCTTCGTAGCGATGGCTTAGTTTTCGAGGCGATAAAGTTTACTGTCAACGAAATAAGATGCCCTCCGGAAAAATCGTCCTACGCGCCCAAACAATGCCAGGAGCCCATGCATATTATATTAAGACAATGCATATTGTATTACCCAAACGTGCTTGGTTTGTTTGTGTTCCTGTTCCAAAAAAAAAGTGGGCGTTTTCTCTACATCATTTACTCATCGTATTCTCTATAAATCTTAACCCTCTGACGCCGGGCTTGATGGAATCGAAAGTATCTTGCATACAACGGCAGTGTTAATTGCGATGGTCGAATGTCACTATCACCTTCCCACTGAATTCCTTCAAAACAATTGCGTAGAGAATGGAACATTGCCTTTTTGAAGGGAAATAAAATGTTCCGAAGAATTGTTTCTAAAGGCAAAAAAAAAAAAAGAAAAAAGAAAAAAGGGCCTTGTTTAAGTATTTGTTCAAAAGATAATTCCCTGTCACCAAATAGAGACTGGAGACGAGACCAAACAAGGGCTGCGTAGGAGACTATGCGAGCTCACGAGCAAGTTGCCTCAAAAACGACGGTTATTCCACACAAGAGACTGAGGGAACATATCTTCATGACCCATGATAATTTTTCTAACAATCCCGGTGTTCAAGTTTTGAATTAGTTTTTAGAACCTCTGACTTTTCAATCTCTGTATAGATGTTTGCTTCACCATGCGAACACTTACCTTCATTGATTTTTAGGCACACAGACGTGTAAAAGAACAAAAAATCGCGCCTAGCTGTAAGTTTTGACTCGCTTAACGCTTGCAGTTGGGGAGTTACTAAATTGTAGATCAGCCGGAACCTGTGGAACCTGCAGAATCTCCCAAACCTGCGCCCTGTCGAACCTACAGAAGCCATATTTTTAGTAAAAAAAGATAACTTTGATGTCAACGAGCACATCAACAACTCGTCTTCCTACCGCATTTCCTTTTCGAGAAGCCTGTCATCTTTAGGGGATTAAAGTTCTGTTTAACTCAAAAATTCCTGCCATTATGGAAATATTCAGATGAAAAGTGCAACTTTTAAAATGTTCGATCGCTTAAATTTACATTTAGCGCACAAACCCCAATCCACCTAAAGCTCTCGTAAAAGCTCTGAATTCCTTATACAGGAATTGTTGTGATGGAGAGAACTGAATACATATTCGCCTTGTAGGTGTTACTTCAGTTGACAACATTAAAAAGTTCATTCCCGTCAATGACAAGCCAACCAAACAAATCTTTAGAGCCCGTCAGGTTTTGTTTCACCCCAATATCCGTGATGATTTTTGGTGCAAACGGCGTGATCAGAAATAGATAGCTTCCATTCGAACACGTTTAAATCCCTGACACAAAGCGCTAAAATTTCTTTTTTAAGTCGTTGCATTGTGAAATAGGGATTAGCATTTTCCCTTGGGCTACTACTTTCTCATCTCTCACATGACTTTCAAAGTGAAAACACCTTTACCCAACTTGACTGCCCAAAGAAGGCAATCTTGCAATTGGATATATACGGAGATTATATTAACTTAATAATAATAGTAATAAATTAAAAATTTTATAGCGCAAGAATCATCGGGAGATGCTCTCTCGTGCTTTACAAACTTACAGCAATGATATCATAATAATTAAAATCAAAATACAACTCATAAAATTAGGTGAACTCAGAGCTAGACAGAACTATTCGATTAAAGCCTTTTGGAATAAATGAGTTTTAAGAAGTCTTTTAAAAGATTGTACATTATCTGCCCAGCGGACGGCAGTAGGTAATTTATTCCATACTGCTGGTGCAGCCGCGGTAAAACTACGATCACCAAGTGAACGTAGAGCTTTGTTGTGGGTGATCGCAGTAAAAGTTCACAAGACGACCTTAGATCATACCTCGATACAGTCTTTGAAATAATTAGTTCCCTAAGGTATCCGGGTGCAAGTCCTTATATCTTATTTTCTCAACGCGCGATCTAAAAACTGCATCCTATTCAACAGGTTTTAATCAAATTTATTTTTCAAGGATTTACTTGTATAGGTTGAACTAAATACCTTGAAGGGGGCAGCCAGATATATTCTTACAGCAAGGGGCATCGAAACTTCATCCTGTACGGACAGCGAAGCAGATGTTCGCCAACTTTTGAATAATAATCGTTAGTATTAATAGCCCTTTCTTTAACGCTCGAAGGTTCATTTCGAAGGTTCATTTCGAACTTTGAACAAAAAGAAAATCAATTTAGACAAGAACCAAAGCTCGGATGTTGGCAAATCATCGAAAATTTTACCAAAAAATTGCAAGCTGCCACGTATGTATGACAAAAGAACAACTTATCTTGTGGGTACACAGTGGTTATGGAGCGCATTTATTTATAAGCCTGTTTTAGGCGTTTTAGTGGAGCCCTATATTTTAGTGGAGCCCTATATTTTAGTGGAGCCCTATAGAAAACGGCACGAAATTAACCGTGGAGAGAAAGAAATAAAAGAGAAAGGCTTATCGGGTTGCGCCACATGACCAGACTCGAACTTACCCTTTTTTAACACGACCCAAACGTCCCGCCTTTTTTACGCCGCCACTGCTGTGGTGCCGTTTACCATCTCGCTCCGTTTTACAAACTCAACGTCTAAAACAGGTTGCAATTGATAAGCGGTGGAATGAGAAAGAGGATTGAGGGGGCCTTCAGCCCCTCACATTTGGTGGGTAGGGGGTTTAGGGAGAAGGTGCTTTCCCCTCCACTCACGTTTCTATGGGGTAGTCAGTTATCGAAAGAGAAGCTTATAATTGGCCTGGTAAATCCTTTTATAATGATTGCTCTTAGTGACAAGATGTTGGACGACTTTTTTGAACAACTGCTGACTTACGCAGAATTACAAATCGACAGTATCCGCAGTTAACACGTGTAAAACGTCAACTCAAAGTTGCAAAATACTTCTCCCTGACTCATAAAGTTTGAGCTAAGATAAGTCAAACGTCAGGGGCCTCTAGGCTGGGCAACCTTAGACATTCAACGAGTAAAGGCCAAAAGCTAAATTTCAAACTTTCGCATTGTATAAGATTCAGGTGATTATTCTTTCAGTAGTTATACAGACTACTTAAAATTGAAGCTATTTTAATTTTAGATTTAGTATCTGTAGCTAGACGCCCCTTAGTTGACGGGGCAGTGTTTTTTGAAATAAAGTATTTTATTTACCCACTATACAAAACAGGTATTATCTTTTTGGATTCTTTTTCCTTCTGGTGCTGGGTTGTACAGTGGTGAGTCCTCATAACCAGGTATGATGTCTTTTCGGCTTCTTTTTCCTTCTGGTGCTGGGTTGTACGGTGGTGAGTCGGCATAACCAGGTATGATGCCTTTTTGACTCCTCTTTCCTTCTGGGGGTGGGTTGTACGGTGGTGAGTCGGCATAACCAGGTATGATGCCTTTTTGGCTCCTTTTTCCTTCTGGTGCTGGGTTGTACGGTAGTGGGTCGGCATAACCAGGTATGATAGCTTTTTGGCTTCTTTTTCCCTCTAGTGCTACGTTGCACGGTGGTGAGTCGGCATAACCAGGTATGATGTCTTTTTGGCTCTTTTTTCCTTCTGGTGTTGGGTTGTACGGTGGTGAGTCGGCATAACCAGGTATGATGTCTTTTTGGCTTCTTTTTCCTTCTGGTGCTGGGTTGTACGGTGGTGAGTCCGCATAACCAGGTATAATGTCTTTTCGGCTTCTTTTTTCTTCTGGTGCTGGGTTGTACAGTGGCGAACCGACGTAAATAGCTTTGATACCTCTTTGGTTCCATTTTCCTTCTGGGGGTGGGTTGTACGGTGGTGGGTCGGCATAACCAGGTATGATGCCTTTTTGGCTCCTTTTTCCTTCTGGTGCTGTGTTGTACGGTAGTGGGTCGGCATAACCAGGTATGATACCTTTTGGGCTTCTTTTTCCCTCTAGTGCTGCGTTGCACGGTGGTGAGTCGGCATAACCAGGTATGATGTCTTTTTGGTTCCTTTTTCCTTCTGGTGCCGGGTTGTACCGTGGTGAGTCAGCATAACCAGGTATGATATCTTTTTGGCTCCTTTTTCCTTCTGGCGTTGGGTTGTACCGTGGTGGGTCAGCATAACCAGGTATGATGTCTTTTTGGCTCCTTTTTCCTTCTGGTTCTGGGTTGTACGGTGGTGAGTCCGCATAACCAGGTATGATGTCTTTTTGGCTTCTTTTTCCTTCTGGTGCTGGGTTGTACGGTGGTGAGTCCGCATAACCAGGTATGATGTCTTTTCGGCTTCTTTTTCCTTCTGGTGCTCGGTTGTACGGTGGAGAGCCGACATAAATAGCTTTGATACCTCTGTGGCTTCTCCGTTTTCCCTCTGGTGCTGCGTTGTACAGTAGTGGGTCAGCATGACCAGGTATGATATCTTTTTGACTCCTTTTTCCCTCTGGTGCTGGGTTGTACCGTGGTGGGTCAGCATAACCCGGTATGATGTCTTTTTGGCTTCTTCCTTCTGGTATCCCGCCGTATTTCTTTTGTCCGACATATCCAGGTATATCTTTTTGGCTTCGTCTTCCTTTTGGCGGTTTGTTGTGTGGTTTTTGGTCCACTCTACCAGGGATGAGTCGTTTTGCTTTTATTCTCTCCTGTTGTATGTTGTGGTCCTTTGCGGGGGAATTTTGCGATTCGGAGAAGTGGAAAGTTAAAACTAATATCACGAACGTTTGTGCAGGCTTCATTGGCTTTACTTGACTAGTTTCGACTACGTTTATCTCTGTCGTTTTATGTTTGTTCACGGTTCTTTATATATTTTGACGGTAATCATTATGCAGTGGCAATGAATATTTGATTACACAGGAACGATATATTGATTCTTTAATTTATGCTAAACGTATGTTGTTTCAATTTCATCAAAAAAATGTGATATGAATAAGACCTTTCATTTGTTGGCTTGCCACTTGATAACAATGTTGCTTACTGCAGCTAGAACTAACACCTGTTTTAATTATCTTGCCCTTTTCCCTCGCAAAAGTATTACGGAGAAATCTTCATTTTTGGGAAATTACTTGTATTTTAGTGTACTTGTTTTAAATCCTTTGTAATTTTAGGAACATCTTAAAGGATATTTGAACTCAGTGCGAAAAACCGCGATGGATCGTACTCAATCCAGTTTCAAACTAGTCAGATATTACATGAAAAAAAAAAAGTACAAATTTTCAAACAAACCGTCATAAAAGAAGAAATGAAAAAGTTGAAATGTCTCATTGATCTGATATTGACGAAAATTGTCATTAGAACCCTGAGGTAAGACAAGGAAATTGAAGTCTGAAGAAAGCTTCATCTTTTAATTTCATCTTTCAAATTACTTTGAATCATCAACGATTTAAATATCATTGTGGGTTTTCAGCGAGGAAGCATTCGGTTGTATGTTTACTGAATACATATTTGTCAACTGAAGACAATGAAAAGCAAAAACGTACAAGTTTTTCTGAGACTCGGGTCGGTTCCAGACATTTTCAAAGCAAATTTGGTCAACGGTGGCTGTACCGGCTCGAACTTTTTGCGTTTCAAGGGCAGCTGTGAAATATTGATGCCAAGCAACGACACCAACATTCAAATTGATTTGGGTGCTTGATTTCGGCGAGATCACTCTGACTGTTTATATGAGACTCACATCAACTTACAATGATATTCTCAGATGGGTACAACCTTATGCTTTACGATTTTTGCCACTGGAGTTAACTATTCTGATGTTTAGGTTTGTTAATAAAGCAATTCTCAATATCTCGCTGTGTTATAAATTACACGTCATTTTTTATTTTAGCATTCCCTAATTATTTGTGTTTTCTTAAATAAATTGCTTTTTACAGCTTGCTGGTATTTTGTAGCTCATTAAGTCAATTAGAAACGTGGGTGTCCATCGCCCTATTGACAACTAACCTCAAATGTGTGATATGCCACATTTAAAAAAAAATGTATGGCTCGCACCTTTAGGAATCGACTAAGTCGGCTGCTGTGCTAATTTTAAGCTTTTCCAACAACGTCTGAAAAGGAATTGACCGTTTTTGTCGCAGCAAGGGCATTTTTTCATTTTTAAAGAAAAAAGTATCCGCCGCCCAATTAGATCCCATCAGTTTTGATTAACAAGAATGCACGATAACACTTCCAGAATTTCTGAGAAAAGTTATGAGGCGATCAGAGTTAGTTTGGGTTTATATGTCAATAAGAATGAAATTTACCCGTGTACAACGTACATCAGGCTTAGTTGGGACAGCACTTTAGTAAAGATGCCATGCGTTTAGAAAGGGGAATGCAAAGGCGTAACCTCACGTTTCGCTTTGATCTGAAAAAAAAAAAAAGTGTAAAAAAAAAAAAAACTGTGCGACCAATAAGTTCCTTGGATAGGCACAACTTACAGGAAGGAATAAAGAAAATGAAATGTGCACGATTAATATAACAACAGACTGCGAATGTCAAACATGAAAATTGGGTAAGTTAATTCTGTCAAAGGAATGAATAAGCTCCTTTCAAGGAGTTTTGGGTGGTTTTGGTCCAACATATAGTTCAGTAATTTATACTTCCTCATTTTTTTATTAAGATGCGAAGAATTCAAATAAATATTTGATGTTTCTTCCGAACTGTCCTTCGGCCTGATGAATGAATTTGTAGGTAGTTTTGTTTTCTTTTTCTTGTTCATATCTGTTTTATGATTATCATACCGATATAAATCTTATAAATTTTAGTTTAGTATATACTTTTACTATTCATACTAGTTCCTTATCTTGTCTTTCCTTTTTATCAATGATGGTAACTTTTTTAAGATTTTAATCTTTTTTCAGGAGGACCCTCGTGTAAACCCCTTTTTGCGAACTTGGTATCCTCCATAAAGACTAGTTATCATTATATTGAGCTAATGCACGGTGGCTACCAAAATCCTTATCATGTCTGGAGTGAATTTTCCTCTCAGTTTCAGGATCCTGAGTCTGTTTTACTATTTGTACCTTGTGACGCCAGCTCCGCCAAATATGAGGTTAAAGTGGATAAATTATAATAAGATAATTTTTTAGGCTCCAGTGGTTTATACGAGTCTTGAAAAAGGATGAAAGGACGTTAACTGTCCAGAAACTGAAATAGCGGCACAGTATCGATAAATGCTAAACATATGGAGCTCTTAAAAAAGCATTACCTTGTTACAATAAATGCGCTGAAAAAGCAATTATGTCTGAGACATGTCTATTATGTGACATATCTATTTACATGATGTATGACATATACTACGTTTGCCAGCATGTGGGTCTCACAACAGCGAAGTTAACTCCTAACTACACCCAAAAGTTCCAGAGTGGTCAATAGTGAGCAGATAGTTATATGATAACCGTGTAATTCCAGACTAGACAACCACAGTAAACCCTCGCCATTTTAAGGAAATTACAAAATTTGTTTAGAAGAAATACCGACCAGATCAATCTTTGTAATTATCCTTCCTAGCGCGTCAAGTTGCCCTCAAACAGCCTCCTGTTGGTGACCGTCACCCACGTTTAGACTGTCTGAGCCAAGTTATCCCAATTCCACTTCCTCAAGGTTTTTTATTTTTTTTATCGTTTTATTTCGCACAGTTCTGCAATGTGTCTTGACTGAACACTTTAATCAAAACAGAAGAGAGTACATTTTTGCAGTTTTTTCCTAGTTCGTTCGCGTCAGCCTGCAGTAAATATAATGAATAATACTATGAACATTCAATTCCCCTGTAATAAGTGTTGGAAGCGATTTTCGTCTGCTTTTTATTATGATATCTGTTGATTATTCGTAACTTATGACCAGTCTAGAGGCAACTTATAAGGGTTCATTGATGAGAAACCTTTCCTTATCTTTGTTCGTTCGACTGTGGCCAAGTTTGCTGATCAACATGCCCGAGACTCAAAAATGCGTATTGATGTTTCTTTGCATAACAAAAAAGGCAAAATGTCGCGCTTATAAGTGCCTAAGCGCGTTTCAATTTATGAAATCTAATTATTTGACAGAACAACAACTGAAATATGACGTGTAGCTGATTTTATCAACCAAAATGATAATTTTTAATAGGCACGTTGTCTCAGATTACGAGAGACAAGAACAAATGAATTACTCTTAAAGAAACTTTTGACTAGGTTTCAACAAACTCAGAAATTTCTGTAAATTTAGAGACATATAGCTGGATATGAAGTGTTTATGAAACTTGCAAAGGGTTCCCTCTCCGTAATAGGCATTCTAAACCTAAAAAAAAGCTCTTGCTTTCATATTCAAACTAATATTTCTAGACTAACACCCCGTTGTTAGCTTGAATAGCTGAAAATATGCCAGCCTTTGACTAGTCATTTTAGGTTCACTTTTCAACCGATGGATTGTGATCAACAATTTTGCAAAAAAAAAAAAACAAAAAAAAAAACACAGTTTTTGACTCAAAAAGGAAAGGACAACATATATATAATATTCATACCGAGTGTGAATTTTAATATGGTTGAAATGGTTTGTTTGACTTGGGTATTTACCATCAAAACAATGGCGCCCCGCTGAAATGAAAATAAACTGTAAATTAAATCAAATCATGTAGGTTTTTGAGGAGAGGGGAAAACCGGAGTACCCGGAGAAAAACCTCTCGGAGCAGAGTAGAGAACCTACAAACTCAGTCCACTTATGACGCCGAGTACGGGAATCGAACCCGGGACACATTGGTGGAAGGCGAGCGCTCTCACCACTACGCCAACCCTGCTCCCAAGAGAATCGCTTCAATCGGTAGAGAAATATTTGAGCGATTCTTCTGACAACTGGCATGTGATTGCGACGATCGTCGAAATAGAACTAAAGTCTCTCTTGCGACAACGATGGAGAGGTGTGGTTTCCATATGATAATAACGATCGCTAAATATTTTTGTAGGGATCATATCTTAAAAGCTTTTAGTCTTTTAAGCTTTGTCTAGTTACCGCCTCATTTTCAATACTAATTAGGCGGCGTTTGCGCGATTGTTTGCGGAGGCGGAGCTTAGCATATATTGATAATCTTGCGGGAAGTTTGAAATGGGTAACTTGTATTCTCGTGGGAGTCCCCAAAGGACAAATTTGGAGAGATCACTGCGATGCAGAGCAAACGTTTTCGAAATTCGCGTTTTGCGACTGCTTCGAAAGCTTGAAATCCCTTGAAAATTTCTATGGCGCTTTCTAGAATGTTAAATAAAAATAACCGTATGGTAAAAGAAAAATCTAGCAATTGAGTGAAGATGAATTACGCCTGAAAGTGTGCTGAGATCGACTTCTCATACCAGCAGGACGCCAACATAGTCAATTTTCAAGGCAAATTTGCGACCTCTTCTGAAAGCGCAAGAGCAAAGTGTGACTGATACACTGTTCAATTGAACTTTCTTCTATAAAAGCCATATGGTAAAAGTAGGATTCAAAAAGTAGTTTATCCGTAAACGAATAGAACGTAAGCTTTCCTCGACATTTTCAGCCCTTTCCCTCTATTGTTTGGCAATCATTTTCTAATTAGCGTTTAAATTTAGCGCCAGTGTCTCAATGAAAGTCCCGGATATGTCACTAAATTCTGGGCGATGCCCTCTGGTAACATTTGATTAGAAAATACGGAAATACCAACAAAAGAATTCCTTATCAGTTTAAAAGCTTTTATCAGAACTTCTCTTGAAATTCGTCGTTCCGACAATTTGCAAATCATTTCATTGTAGGCGGAGAGAGGCGCTCAGTGCATTCACACTAACCCCTGAGTATAAAAGGGGGTTAAAACGTAAACTACATTTTTATATTTACAATTTTCTTAAAAAAATTTGATTGTGGCTGCATTCTACAACGGAGATTACCTCTAGCAAGATTCGCAAAAAATATCTCATAT